CAAACAGAGAGGGAAGGAGGCAAACCATAAAAGACTCTTAAATATAGAGAACTGAAGGTTGATGGGGAGTGGGGGAGAGGGGAAATTGTGTGATGGGCATTGAGGAGGGCACTTGTTGGGATGAGCACTGGGTGTTGCATGGAAGACAATTTGACAATAAATTATATTAGAAAAAAAAATCAGGAGAGAGGAGCCTGGGTGGCTCAATTGGTTGGGCGTCTGACTATTGATTTCGGCTCAGGTCATGATATCATGGTTTCATGAATTCGAGCCCCACATGGGCTCTGTGCTGACAGCACAGAGCCTGCTTGAGATTGTCCCTCTTTCTCTGCCATCCCCCATTCACATTCTCTTGGTCTCTCTCAAAATAAATAAATAAACTTAAAAAAAAAGAAAAAGAAAATCAGGACAGTGAGGAGTCCTGGAAGCCAAATGAATGCAGAGTTTCATGGAGAAGTGATCAACACTGTCAAATACTGCTGGTAAGTCAAGGAAGATGAGGATTACAAAGTGACCTTTAGATTTATGAAATCAATAGTGACCTTGACAAAAGCAGTTTGAGTGACAGGAGAAAGTGGGTGACACAGAGAATAGAGAAAGAGAGCAGCAGACAGGTGATAGCAAGACAGTATGGACAACATAGACACATACAAACTGGTGACACAGGGAGAGCAAGTGACATAGACAGTGAGTGAGAGACAAAAGGTAGGCAACATGAGAGAAAGGGTGAGTGACAGAGGTAAGCAGAGGGTGGCTGACTTTACCAGTCATCATTTGTTGCCTCTCAGTTCCAAATTCACCCCTCAATACCTGTTCTGTGACAATGGACAGAATTCCTTTAAGCATCTCTCCTTTACAGCGAACACGATGTTACTCTTTCTCAGTAGAGGGCGCCTGAGGGACACTTCAGGAGGAAGGGGCTCTTCTGAAGTTGCCGGCTGCTGCAGTACACGGGGACAACAGAATAGCCCACAACCACAAACCCAGAACATGCCGTCCCTCAATGACCTTGAAGCCTCCACCTGGCATGGCAATAACCTTCTTGCATCCCCTCACATAGAAACCAGCTCGCCCAACAGCTCGCCTGTGCCCTGGGCCCCTACCTCTTCTGTGTGCACATGATAAGAGTTGCTGATAGACTGCTTGCCACCTGCACTCCAGAAGTTTGCCTCCTGTTGGCCCAGGGGATGCAGACCAGCCAGAAAATTTCTCCGCTACACAGTGGGCTGAACTACACCTTCTCCAATGAAGCCTGAACCTCAGCCTTGGGGAGAGGATCCCCTTCCAAGTCTGTCCTTCCTTGGATATTCCCCCTTAGCCCAAGGACACCATATGGAGTTTCTGTGTCTTTTTTTTTTTAATGTTTATTTATTTTTGAGAGAGAGACAGAGCATGAGCAGGGGAGAAGAAAGAGAGGGAGACACAGAATCCAAAGCACGCTCCAGGCTCTGGGCTGTCAGCACAGAGCCTGACGCAGGGTGTGAACCCACGAACCACGAGATCATGACCTGAGCTCAAGTCAGATGCTTAACCGACTGAGCCACCCAGGCACCCCTTTCGTATTTCTTATAGTCACTCGTTTATCATTTTAATAATTCTTTATATTGAAATTCTTGTTTTAATATGCTATATGGTTTCTACCTCCTGACTGGACCCAAGATACAGTGACAGAGAGGAAAAAGAGGGTAGGTGACAGAATGAAAGAATGGTGACAGAGAAGGAAAGTGAATGACAAAGTGGGTAACAGAGAATGAGTAACAGAGGTAGAGAGTGCAGGACAGAGGTTATGGGTGACAGAGAAAGGGGGGAAGGGGCGACAGTGGGGAGGATGACAGACACAGAAAGAGGGTGGAACGGAAGAGTAAGTGGATGAGACAGAATGGATGACAGTGTGAGCAGGAAGAGGACAGTGTCAAGAGGATGGGTGACAGAAGGAGAGAGAATGGGGGCAACAGAGAGAAGGATGTGGTGGGTGACAGAGAATGGGAGAAGGAGCAAGAAAATATGAGTGCCAGAGAGGGAGAGTGAGTGACAAAGGTGGGTGACAGAGGAAGAGATAATGGGGAACAGGAAGAGACAGGACAGAAAGGGGGAGAGGAGGACGGTGGGCAAGAGAAGAGCTGGGGGGTAAGCATGACAGGTACCGAAAGCGTGCGACAGAGTTACTTCATCTGACAGAAGATGTGTGTGAAAAAAGAAAACATGGGTGCAGAGAGTGTATGACAGCAAGTTTCAAAGTTTTCTTTCAGCTGTTAGGCAGGAGGGGCAGAGAGATGAAGAAGGTGGGACAGCAAGAGGAGAGAGAGGAGAGAGGGAGGAAGAAAGGCAGATATGTGTGAGCAGAGTGTGCCAAGGAGGACTAGCAGCACTGAAGAAGGCAGAGAAGGTGATGCTTTGTGCAAGGGGGCTTCGGTGTACATTGGATTTGGAAGAGGACGGGAGAGACAGAGAAAGATTAGGAGAAATAAAAAAGATTGTGAGTTGAGGGGTCATGAGAGGCAGGGGACTGTGAGGGCAGAAGATGCTGACTGTGAAAGAAGGGCTGAGCGTTGAAGGGAGCAGGGGAGTTTGGGAATGTTCAGGAAAGAGCACCTGAGAGCAAGGAAGAGACAGGTGCCTGTGTAAGAGGCAGTGTTGGGGAAATCCAGGCATTTTTGCTTGCTCAGGGAAAGGAGGGGAAGGGGTTAAATAGCTTAAGCCTTCCTATCCCCATTTTTCAGATGAAAACATTGAGGCTCAGAACAGTCAAATGACTTACTTAAGGTTTCCCAGCTAGCAGACGGCAGAGCCATATTTTGAACCCCAAACGGCCCAACTCCAAAGCTAGTACTCTACCACACCACACTGCTCCCTGTTTTCCCAAATCTTCCTTAAAGACGTCAAGTAACTTAGCCTAAAGATGTGATTTTACTCCTCAGTAAGACCTTTTAGCTTTTAACAGCCTTAAAACACTTTTTTTGAAAGGAAGACAGAACTATTACACTGGCCCAATTTATTTGTTTGTAAAACATCAAAATTTAAAACTTCTGTGCATCAAAGGACACTACCAACAGAGTGAAAAGGCAACCTACAGAATGCGAGAAAAGATCTGCAAATCATATTTGATAAGGAGTTAATACCCAAAACACGTGAAGATAAAACAACCCACCTGACTAAAAAATGGGCAAAGGAGTTGAATGGACATTCCTCCAAAGAAGATATACAAATGGCCAATAAGCCTATGAAAAGATGCTCAACATCACTAATCATTAGAGAAATGCAAATCAAAATCCCAACCACTTCATTATCATTAGGATGGCTAGTAACAACCATCACAACAAAACCAGAAAATAACAAGTGGTGGTGAGAATATGGAGACAATGTAACCCTTGTACACCGCTGGAGGGAAGGTAAAATGATGCAGCTGCAGTAAAAGACCGTATGGCAGTTCCTCAAAAAATTAATAATAGAATTACCCTGTGATCCAGCAATCCCACCTCTGGCTAGATATCCAAAAGAATTGAAAGCAGGATCTCAAAGAGAGATTTGCACACCCATGTTCAAAGCCAGCTCTGTTCACAATAGTCAAGAGATGAAAGCAACCCAAGTGTCCATCAACAGGTACATGGATAAACAAAATGTGGTATGTGCACATGATGGAATATTATCCCCTCCTAAAAAGGAAGGAAATCCTGTAACGACACAATACTGATGAACTTTGATGAAAGTATGCTCCGTGAAATAAACCCATCACATAAAGACAAATACTGTATGATGCCACTTGTATGAGGCTCCTGGAGTTAAATGCACCAGGGCAGAAAGTAGAATGATGGCTGCCAGGGGCTGGGGGAGATGGGAGGAAGGAGTTCTTTAATAGGAAATTTTGGCTTTGCAAGCTGAAGAGTTCTGGAGGTGGAAGGTGGTGCTACTTTAACAACAGTATTAATGTTATTAATGTTATTAACACCACTGAACTGTATACTTAGGAATGGTTAAGTTACATTGTTTCTATTTTATCACAGCTTTTTAAAAAAAGTTTAAATCTCATCCTCACATCACCATGTCCCCCACCCTTAGCCATAAGATGAACGCTTACTCATTGAACACAAACATCTCCTTCTGTGAGGCCGGCCCTTGTAGTTGACCAATCTCATCCTCTATGCCCATACTATGCCTTGCACATTATACCTCTTTCAGCACTCATCAAACATTATAGCGATTATTGGTTTACCTACCCCTTTCCACTACCAAAATATAAGCAGTATTGAGGGGGCAAGGTTAGTGTTTCACTCCTCTCTGTATCCCCTAGGCCTGGTGTTTGGTAGACTGGCAAGACTCAAGAAAGGCTTGATCAGTGGAAGTTCTGACTTTTAAGGAGTTCGCACTGGAGAGCTATCTGACCAAAGAAGGGGGCATCGGGAAGTTCCCCAGGTTTTAGAAATCTGAGCAGATTCCCACGCCCTACTCCGAGAACGCAAGGGCGCGTCTCACAAGGGCCTCAGCATTCTGGCCCCCCGGGAGGGTCCGAGGGCTTCCCACCCCCACTGCCGGCCAGAGCCTGCGAGCTAGACCCCCCCAGCGGCCCAGACATACCTCAGGTAACGGGCAGCCTGCTCCGGGCTTAAGGCCGCGGCTTCCGCAGACCCTCTGGACGCCTCCATGACCCCCAACTCGGGCTCCAGGTATCTCAGCGGGCGATCAAATTTCGCTCGCTCCCGCCCGGCGCATGCGTGGTGCGCCGGAAGGCGGGGCAAGGCCAACAGTCGGCCTCGCGGCTGGCCAATCGGCAGCGCCCCCTTCCGCGCCACCGCCAGAGCCCGCCCGCGCGCCTGCGCCTATACGCGCTGGAGCTAAGAGGCGGTCCCAGGCCCAACGGAGAGGGAGGGCGTTGTGTCCTCTCCTCTCTCCCATTTTCAGTTCGGTGCAAGCAGTGCTTCAGCACTTTCGTGCGTGTGCGTGTGCTAGCTATCCTCGTGAGTGAAGTAAAATGCCTGATATGATCTCGGTCACTTTAGTGGCTGCTAGAGACCTTCTCCATAGCCTGTTTCCCCCCAAATATCCTTCATTCCATGCTCGCCATTGCCTGGCATTGAGCATGCTTTGAATTCAAACACTCTGGGAGACATGGTCCCCGTGACTTAGACTTACATTGAGGAAGAGTCTTCAAGAGCCAAGCCAAAGCTCTCATTTAAGAAATAAGTAGTGCTAAAAAAAAAAAAAAAAGTAGTGCTGTATCGTATGGTTACCATTTCTTTAGAAGCTCCAACTAGGATGCCATCATTTTCAAAGGCAGAGCTCAGAGCTTGGGGCAGGAAACCAGTGAGTTTAATCAGTTGCTTGGATGATCCTCAGAGGTTGTGGACCAACAAAAATTGTCCTTGTTCATACAGCGATGAAAACATGGACATTGTGATTCTTCAAGGCACTGATTAACATTCAGTGTTTGAAAACTCACCTATTGACCCAGTCACGCCCACCATAAGTCCAGAGGATTTTAGGCTTTTTGTAAATACCATAGATCATTAGTTCAAAAGGGGATCTTCTAAAAAGAAACTATGGGATATTTTCCTAGTTCACATGACTTTAGGTCATATTTTCATATGGCTTTAAGCCTTCTGTTAAGAGGGCTTTTAGTATACTACTACTATCCCCGTTTTCAGATACGAAAACTGAGGCTGGGGACATAAAGTGACTTTGCCTAAGGTTCCAGAGCTGGGAAATAGCAGAGCCAGAATTTAATACCAGGTCTATATGGAAAATCCATGCTCCTTCACTGTGTCCACTGCCTATTGCCGGAAAGGAGAGTAGTGGGAAATGAGGTAGATGAGGTAGTTGGAAGCCAGTTTTTGAAAGAGCTTGCTTACTCTGTTGAAGTGTTTGAATCACTTCTCTCCCTAGAGGCAAGTTTGCATTGGGGTGGGTCGAGTGCGCAGGCATTCTGGGTACCCAAAGTAGGCGTGTGATGAGAAAGGCTGGTTGGGGAGAATTTCATAGAAAGGAGAAAAGAGATGGGAGCACAAAAATCTTCATCGCCAGTCTAGGGCAGGCCATCTCCGGTTGTGCTTTGGCTCAGCATCTACCATCACCTCTTACATATCTTTGGAACAGTTGAGAACTCAAAATGAAGCAAAGCAAACCCCTGATTACTATCTCAGGCAGCTGCCTTTCTGTGGGCTGTGGAGAAAAGCTAGAAGGAACTCCCTCAGGACCCAGACTCTGGCCTCCCTGCTTCCTAGCTTTCAATGATCCCCAAAGGCTCTGAATATTGGGAAGAAAGGACCAGGATTCCTACTTGCTTGCCCTTAGGTTATTGGATTTTTTTCAGTACCATTCTCACACAGCCACAGGACTGTGGCTTCTTTTTTGTTGAAGTTTATTTATTTATTTTGAAAGAGAGATAGAGAGGGCAAAGACAGAGGGAGAGAGAGAGAGAATCCCAAGCAGGTTCCGCACCATCAGCACAGAGCCCAAAGTGGGGCTGGGACTCACAAACTGTGACATCATGACCTGAGCTGAAATTAAGAGTCTCACACTTAAGCGACTGAGCCACTCAGGCGCCCCAGGACTCCCCCTTATTTAAAACCCACTAAATCCTCTAGCTCTCTTTCCCTCCCCCTCAGTCCCACAGTCACTACCTTCAGGCCCTTCTCAGTGCCTTCCAGAGTCCCAGCTCTCACCGAGGGGTGCAAGTGACCCAGGAAACTCATCACCCTGGACTCCTAGTCCTCCTTTCTAAAGGGTAACACAGGCTCATAGACCAGAAATAAGAGAGGGGTTGGGGAGGATTTAGGGTGGATAAGTAGAGAAAATGGAAATGAATCAAAATAACAGTTATTACTATATCCCATTTATGTATCAGAGGCTGTTCATGGTACTTTATATTAATTCTCTTGACTGTTCCTCATTTCATGTCTACCCCCAGAGTGAGGGCTCCCATTCCCCCAGCTTCCCCCAGGGGAATGGAGTTTCAAAAGCCTTCCCTAATTATTGTTAATTTTTAAAGTGTGCTAATGGTATTGTTGTATTTTTTAAAGTCCTTATCTGCTAGAGATGCATAATGGAGTGTTTTCAGATAAAATTATATGACATCTGAGGTTTGTATTAAAATACTCCAGAAGGCAGAAAGATGAGGAGGGGGAAAGATGAACATAGACTGGCAAAATATTGATTATTGTTGAAACTTGTTACAGAGGTTCATTATCATTCTTCTCTCTGCTCTGCCTGTTCGAAATTTTCCATAATAAAAATTTAAAAAAAAACCTTTGCTATCTAATCTGCAAATAACACTGAGTCACCAGTACTCAAAGACCGGAAATAAGATAATGAGTCCTTGTGGGGGAGCTCAGAATGGGTAAATGGAGAGATGGATGAGGCAGGCTAAGAACAATAGCTATTGCTAATATAGTACTTGAGTGCCAAGCCTTGTTCCACACAGTTTACATATATTAAGTCTTTTCATCCTCACAACAACCTTGTTAGGTAGAGTATGCTATTATTATCCACCCTTTATAGATAAGGAATCGGAGGCACAGAAAGAATAACTTCTACCAGCTTACACAGCTTGTGAGTGGTAAAGCTGGGCTCCAAACCCAGGCATTCTGGCTTTTGACTTTTTGCTCTTAGACATTATGCTAGTTAGATATAGAAAGCAGATGATAGGTGAAGATAAGTGTTCATTCATCCATTTACTTCTTCATGTATTTAATAGATATGTGTTGAGCCTTTACAAGATGGCCAGGCAAACATCTGGGTGCTGGGATACAGTGGTGAGCAAAACAGACCGGTTCTTGCTATCAAAGAGTTTGAAGTTTGGGGATTTGGGGGAAGACTTGAAATAATAAACATGCAAGCATGTGGAAAATCACAAACCATGATGAGGGCACAGAAAGAGAGTTCCAGGGAATCTGAGAGCATATGATGGGGTACCTGACCCAGTCTGAAGGGGCTGGGGAGGTTTTTCTGAGGAAGTAACATCTGAGCTGAGAGCTGAAGGGTAAGGAGAAATTAAAAGGGAAGGGAAAAGCATTTCAGGCAGAGGGAAGAGCACGATCAAAGGTCCTGAAGCAGGAGAGAGATTGATGCACATGAAGAACTGAAAAGGGTAAGGAGGTTGGAGCAAAGCCTAGGACGCTAGAGTTGGAAGGGTTTTTTGGAGTCCAGTCCAAAGTCGCAGGTGAGAGAACTGCCACTGGGAAAGAAGGAAGTGACTGGTCTAAGGCTACACCCTGAATCAGTGGCAGAAACAGGACTCAACCTAGGTTCCTTGACTCCCAGCCCAGTACTCTTTCCAGCACAGACCATGGCTTTCCTGCATATGAGGAGGAGGGAGGTCAAATGGGTGTCAGCAAAATGCTGCTCATGCGGACTCAGAATGGAAGAGGGTGTTTTTGGAGATAGGTAGAAATAACCAAATGGAATCCTCGTGGACAAGGAGGCCAAGAGTGAATTTGGGGCAGAAGAGAAGTAATTTGGAAACAGGGAGAATTTAATCTGTGATTCCCAGACACCTAATTAGGCTTTTATCCAGCTATTTCCAGCAAGAGTCCTAAAGTGGGTGGGATTTGGTGGGGTGGAGGGGGGAGTTGGAGAAGAATACTGGGGCAGATGTCTTCAGCCTCTCTTTTGAGGTGAGGAGGGTGCTTTCCGGCTCAGCGGCCCAGCTGTGAGTCATCTCCAGTTCTGCCAGCAGGGGGAGCCAGAAACTGTTTCCTAAGAATGGCAGCTGGCCTGGCCCACCCGCAGGATAAATTCTTACTGGAAGCTAGTCAAGTCAGTCCAAGATGCTGTGGAAATGACAGGAGCTGAGGGGAAAGAGGGAGCCAAGATTTAGGATTATTCACAGGGGTCTTTGCACTAAATTTCAGTCATTGGTAAGTGCCTCTTAAACCCGCCTCCTAGGGTTTGAGCTGAAGCAGGCAGGCACCAAAGGGTAGGGATCATTTGACAGGACAGTGCCGCTGCAAAAAACATGGCCTCCTTCACTCCCTTTGGGCTGCTTCGTCCACTCCCCAAACCTCACAATTTTGTCTCTAGCCTCATCCTTTTTCCTGAGTTTCAGTCCTAGATGGCCAACTGGCTACAGGACATATCTTCCTGGAAGCTCAACCTCAACATGGCACTGAACTCATGTCCCACCCTCCCCTAGTCCTGTTCCCTCAATATTCCTCACTTCCATGAACAGCATTTCCAACCCCCCCAATTGTTCAAGTCAGAAACTGGGAGGCATCTTTCCAATTCACCAATACATCTTGTTGGATCTACCTCCAAAATATATCTCCAACCCAAACACTTCTCTTCATCTCCTCTGCCACCATTCTGGTCTGTCACACTGTCATCTCTCACCTGCCTTACTTCAATAGCTTCCTGGCTTTCTTCCTGCTTTTATTTGTGCCTGCTCCCCAGTGTTTCTGCACCCAGAAACCAAAGTGATCTTTCAAAAACACCAATCTGATCATGTCATGGCCCTGTCTAAACCCTTTGAAGCCCCCCCCTTGCCCTCAAAATCAAGTCTGCTTCCTCAGCATGGCTTTCAAGGCCTTCCTGATCTGGCCCCTGACTGCTTCTCCTGCCTTATGACTCACTTCTCCATGACATGAGCATGCACACACTCTCACGCACATACATACACATACACACATCACTCTTCTCAAGCTAAAACACT